GTTTGTTTTGTGGCCTAATATGCGATCTGTCCTAGAGAATGTTTCTGTGTACACTTGAAAAGAACCTATAGGGGTGCTGGGTGGCTCAGTTTGTTAAGCATCTGACTTTTTATATTGGCTCAGATCACAATCTCAGGGTCCTGGGATTGTGCACTGGGTAGGGGTCTATACTCAGTGAGGAGTCTGCTTGAGGATTCTCTCCCTCTTCCTCCACCCCTCCCCCACTCACATGTGCACACATGTTGCACACACTCTCTCTCTCAAGTAAGTAAATAAAATCTTTTTTAAAAAAGAAAGAAATAAAAGAATGTGCAGTCTGCTATTTTAAGATGCAATGTTCTGAGCGTATCTGTTAAATCTATCTGGTTCAGTGTGTTATTCAAAACAGTGTTTTTCTTGTTGATTTTATGTTTGGATGATGTATCCAACAATGTAAGTGGGATGTTAAAGTCTCCTACTATTATTGTATTATACTACCAATTAGTTTCTTTATGTTTTTCATTAACTGTTTCATATACTTGAGTGCTCCCAGGTTGGGTAATACTTAAAATTGTTATAGCTTCTTGCTGGATTGATTCCTTTATTATTATATAGTCTTCTTCTTTGTCTCTTTTTACAGTCTTTGTTTAAAAGTCTATTTTTTCTATTATACGTATTGATACTCTGGCTTTCTTTTGACATCCATTTGAATGATAAATGCTTCTCCATCCTCTTACTTTCAATCTGTGGGTGTCTTTAGGTCTGAAACAAGTATCTTAAAGGCAGAATATAGATGGGTCTTGTTTTTTTACACACAGTGTCACACTATGTCTTTTGATTGGAACTTAATCCATTTGCATTCTAATTAACTATGAATAGATATGAATTTGTTGCCATTTTGTTATTTGTTTTGTGGTTGTTTTCGTAGTTTTTCTCTGATCCTTTCTTCTTTTGCTCTCTTTCATGGTTTGCTGGCTTTCTTTAGTTATATTATATTTGGATTCCTTTCTCTTTATTCTTTGCATATCTATTAGTGGTTTTTGATTTGTGGTTATCATTAGGTTCATATATACCATCTTTGGTTTTTACAACTATTTTTAAGTAGACATATTATAAAGCATAATTATTATTGAAAAGTTCATTTATAAATTTGTATCCCATTTACTTCTTTTTAATTCACTTGTTCCTATAATTATGCTTGAATTGCTCATGAAAATTTCATGAGACATTAAACAAAGCTAGCCATCATCTTAAGTTATTTTTCTTGTTGGCATATCAGGCAAGTTTCAAAAAAATTATGGAAGCAAAGAACCTAAAAGTTAAACATTTGGTTTTTCCCCTCCTTATTTTTTAATTGCTATGCTTGACATGCATCAAGCAATTTATTTTTATTGTACATTTTGTTCTTAGGTTGAATCCATGGTTTTATAATTTTAAACATATAGTAGAGATAATTTAAGTTTGTTTGACTAGTAAATCTAGGTTGGAAAAATATATATTCACATTATAAATAATCCTGAGAATTCTGAAGACATACTTATCTTATTTTGCCAATGGTTTTTAAGGTTGCTTTATTTACCAAAGAATATCCCAGATCATGCAAACTTAAACACACATACACACATATATCAGCTGTTTTTTTTATTTCTGAGAGTTCTAGGGAAATTTAATTTATGTAAGTGCCCACTTACCTCTAAACCAATTAGGGTAGAACTCATCTGAGGTATTTTTTTTTTTAAGATTTTATTTATTCATTCATGAGAGACACAGAGATGCAGAGACACACAGAGGGAGAAGCAGGCTCCTGCAGGGAGCCTGATGCAGGGCTGTATCCCAGGACCTTGGGATCATGACCTGCCAAAGGCAGACACTCAACCACTGAGTCACCCAGGTGCCCCTTATTTGAAGTACTTTATAAATTAATTTGGTAATAGCATTTGGAGACAGAAAAATATCACTTGTGTATAACATACAGAAATATATATACACACATACATAAACATATAGACAAATACAGATTTTTTAGCTTTCATTCTAAAATTTTAGTCATAAGTTAATAAAACATAGTAATACAAACTCACTCGTTTATCTCCACTTTCTATTTTTATCTCCATTGTGTTTCTGATAAATGGGACAAATTAATGTTACCTGTATGCCAATATTCACAGAGAAGACTTTTAAATTTTTCTTTTGCCCTGATATGTAATCTAATGAAGTCTATGAACTAAATTTTAGACCAGTGACTGACAGGACACCCAGCAGCTGTCTGGACATCTCCAATGCACATCTGAGGGGATGAAACATCTAGCTTTGGTTCCAAACAGCTTTTTTTTTTTTTCTCTTTTCAGCCTAAGGTGGTTGCTTTTGGAGGTCTCTGAGTTCCCTGAGAGCCCCGGAGGGAGAGTAGAGGGCCTAAAATTCAAGTGGCTGTAAAAACTGAGAGGATAAAGTGAAGTGGAAAAGTTTGGCAGGGATGGACAGAGGAATAGAGGAGGTGGGGGGCTGAAGAGGAACATTTAAAATTCAAGGGAACTGGAGGAAATATTGAAGGTGCTAAAAGGAGGAAGGACGAGAGATACAATGGAAAGGTAGAAGCCTTAGAGGAGCCAGTATGGGGAGATCTCAAGTTTTCCAAAGAGGCCAGTGGAGTTCTAAATTATCCTCAGTAAAATCATGCCAACAAGAAAAGAAGCAGACAAGTTGGCAGAGCCTATAATTAGCAGACGTACAAGAAGGAGGCTTCCGTCAACTGAGAAGTTCCCATGGGAGAAGCAGAATCCAGTAAAGAGAACAGTAAAGAGAGCCCTCACAGAGAACCAAGAAGAAAAACTTCCAGCCTAGAGAGTTAGAGATTAGTTCCCTCGGGAAAGAGAGCCAGAAAGAAGAGACTTCCAGCTCAGAAGGTACCTTTCAAGGAAGCCAGGGTCTCTAACTCATCCTCTTACAAACAGAGAAGTGTAGGACTCTACAGCATCTGTTTGTCTGGGACTCTAAGTCAGCTTCTGGAGTATACTCAGAATCTGAAGCATCAAAATCTGTCCTTACCAGCTTCAACAATGTCTGTCTTAAGCACTGTTTCCAGAGTCAGACTCTCCAATGGATCCCCAATCCATCAGGCAGGAGGAAAGACAAAGGCTTCAAAGGTACATTCTCAGGGTCCTAGGTGAGAAGTCTAGGGACCCAGTGGTGAATCTGATCTCATCTGAGTCATGGCACCATAACGTTAAGGAAAAAAATATTCAATGAGACTTGTTCAAGAAGGTGAGGCAGACTTTATTCAGGACCATCATGATAGGTACCAGGAATATTACAATGGGATTTTCCAGTGGGGGAGAGAGACTGGGCTCAACTCCAAATAGTGCAGGGCAAGTGGTATTTTGAAGTCAAGGAGTAGAGTAGGGGGGTATAGTGGATAAAAAATTACTAAGAAGAAATATCAGGCATAAGAAGGGTTTTGGCTAAACCCAGCTGGATTCTTGATGACAACAGGCCAGGACGGTCAGACGTCTTCGGGGAGACGATGAGCCCAACCAGATAATATCGAAGGTGATCAGGTATCAAGGGTGAGTGGCTCTAGTTAAACTGACTTATCAAGTTCTTGCTAAAACTAGATTTTACAAGGACATGCAGAGATGGGCCCCAGGAAGGTCCAGGAGACTGATTAAAGTCTGCTCAAGCAAAGTATCTTTGTTAGTGGGTTTACTTTAAAGAGGAAAAGAATATCAAAAATGGGAGAGGAGGGCGCCTGTCTGGCTCAGTTGGTTGAGCATCTGCCTTTGGCTCAGGTCATGATGGGTCCTGGGATTAAGCCCTGCTTCGCCCTCTGCCTCTCCTCTCTCTCTCTCTCTCTCTCTCTCTCTCTCTTTCTCTCTCTCTCTCTCTCTCTCTCTCTCTCTCTCACACACACACACACACACACACGTGAATCAATCAAACTTTTAAAAAAATGGGAGAGGGCATCCCAGAGATAAAACTTTATATTTTTCTAAATTTAACTCAAGACTATCTCTGCTAGAATTCATTAAAAGTCTGGCCCCCTGAAAATCATGTAACTTTTGCCTTCAGAGAGAGGTTATGAAGGCTCCAGGATAGTCTCAGCCTCTGAGAAAAGTCCATGAAAGGAAACAACCCAATAGAAGGAGGGAGCCATCACATCGTGAGAATGTCAGTAAGGCATCATAATTTACCTAACCTTAGCCTTCCTCTCTAAATCACTTTTAGCTACTCAAGTATCCTTAAAGTTGTGTAACTGATGAAATACATTGATTTCAGCATTTTTTTCCTAGACTCTCATACATTTCAACCCCTTGGCACACGATCGGGCAGGTAAATTATTCTGGCTTTTCAGTCAGTGAAGCCTGGGTTCAAATCCTAACTCTTCAACTTAGCTCTGTGACCACAGGCAGGTTTTCTAACTGCCCTAAACTTAATTTTCTCAACTGTAAGCCTGGAGTCATTATTTTACCTAACCCACAAAGTCTCTTTGTAGGTGGGATAAAGTAATGCATCAAAGTGCTTAGCGAATTGCCTGTCATAGAGACTGCACTTAGTCAGTGGAAAACATGTGAAAAGAAGAGAAAGGTGAGGGGAACTGGCAAAGTCTAGAAAGAGTGTATAATTCTAAAGAGATAGAAGTGCCATGGGTTCCACAGGATGGGTCAGCTAGGCAAAATGGCACACTTACCAAGTCTCAAAAGAAATTAAAAAGTCTTAGAGAAACTGGGCCTGAAAGTTATAGACACAGTGAAAAGTGCTCTATCCTTCTCTTGTTTTCTTTCCAGACATACAAACGAGATTACCAAGAGACAAGAAAGAAAAATGATGAGGGCCCCCAGGTATTGCAGCATGGGTTCTGCCTGAAGAGGCCCTATGGTGCTGAAATAGAATTTAAGATTAAGACTTTTGACTAGGGCAGGACAGCTGCTTGGGGAACTTCCCAGCAGAGTGATGCTTAGAAAACTGGTAAAAGCTTAAGTAAGTGGGAGTTAAAGAGCAGGACAAACAGAGCAAAGGATACTTACTATCTTCTTGCCAATTGTGAGCTGTAGCCCATGAGACTGGCCTTGTTACAGATGGGATAATTTCTTGCGGGAAAGTTATCTGCCCTTGTTGAGCTTGGCCTTGGGTACTCAATGTTCTCAGGCTTGGCATGGTTTTCTCCAGTAAGATTTTCTCTTCCTGGAGGGAAAAAAAAAAAAAAAAGCAATACAGTAAAAAAAAAAATAAAAAATCCAAAAAAAAAAAAAAAAGGAAACTCTATAGTGAGAATGCCAGAGAATATCTGGGGATATGAATCATAGGGGAGAGAATTTCTGAATTTCTCTTTTCCCAACATTATTTTCATTAAGGAGAAAGAGATTTCCTTCTTGAGCCCCTGTGTCTACAACTCCTTAAAATACTTTCTTATGAAGTTCTTGCGTGTGTTTCTTTTTTTTTAATATATAGACATCTTGAACACCTGTTCCTTTCTCTGTGTGCCCTTTTCTCTCATGCGGCTATGGGAAGAATTTCAACAGGCCTAGCCAACACAGATAATAACAACAGGACATTATGCCCTTGCAGCTTATGTAGTAGTAGCAATGCTTCCACTGAGTGGCCTGGTTTCCTGCCTCCCTGAGGTGACTACAAAGGAATGAACAGAAAGCATCTGTAACATACTCTGTACATCTCCACAGAGTGTAGTGCTAGCCTCAAGCATCCAAAAAGCCCACTGAGGAAACATGGCCAAATCTCCTAGTCGGGGTTACAGGAAACAGACCTATAAAGTGGAGGCGGCTGTAAATTTGCCAAGAAAGTAAATCATGCATACCAGCTTTCAGGACCACATAGTGAACAACAGATTTTAGGGCCCCCTCATATACAGAAAAAAATAAATGGACAATAATAGTACAGAAAAATATTTTATGTTTCACTAGAAAACTATGTATCCCTTTCTACAGCACACTCTTCCAGGTTATGAGACTCTAGCATTATTCATTGGTTTTATTTCAGAAAGCTTTGTAAGCATGTAGGTAACTGATAGATATGTAATTTCTATTCTGTCTGGTAATGATTTAACTAACCAACCCCACGGTCACCCTAACTGTCTTTGAAACTGGAAAAAAAAAGTTTTGTCTCCAATTTGCAATTCATCTCAACATTCCTTTACTTGTATAAATCTGTGTTGTTTTGACTTTTCATTTGAAACAATTGTTATACATTGAACAACATCCCCCCCTCAAAAAAATATTGAAGTCCTAACCTCCACATATGAATGTGACCTTATTTGAAAATAGATTATTTGTAAATGATAAAGTTAAGGTGACATCATAGGGTGGGTCTTAATCCAACATAACTGTGTCCTTATTAAAAAAAGGGGGGGGGGATTTTGACAAAGAGACAGAAAGACATTCATAGTGAATGCCATGTAAAGAGGAAGGCAGATATGCAGATAATGCATCTAACAAACTAAGGAATGCCACAGATTTCCAGCAAATCACCAAAAGCTGGGAGAAAGGTATGGAACAGATTCTCCTACACAGCCCTCAGAAGAATCTAACTCCAATAACCTTGATCTCAGACTTCTAGCCTCCAGAACTGTGAAAGAATAAACCTGTTGTCTAAGCCACCCAGTTTGTGGTGCTTGACTATGGCAACCCCAGCAAACTAATATGTCAGTTATAATATCTGCTTAATTCCCTTGTATCATAGGAGTAAAATAAATTCTTTAAAACATGTTCATTTTATAATCTGTAGGCGAGTCATGAGTTATCTTTTTCTGGAAATGATAAGATAAATGGATCTCTTGCTGTTCCCTCTCCATTCCTGAAAATTTCTCAGCCAGGTCTATCCCTGAATACTCTTTTCTCAATGCGTTATTAGGTTGCATAAAGGCATCACAATGTATCTCTTAGAAATGACTCATACTTGGAAACTTAACTAATCAAAATGGACTGTTCCCCCCTCCTTGTTCAGATGAATGGATGCAAAGGGAAGGAGCCCTGTCAGCTGCCAGGCTCTGGGTTGGGCACTTCGCACTCTGAAGGATATTTTTTGAATGCCTACCCCAGTCATCCTACCTTCTCCAATGTTGGACCAGTAACGTTCACTTTTCCTCTCAAGCCTCAGGGAAAGGGACTCTATCTCAATTTCCCCAGGAAGAAAACCTGATTGGTCTGAGATTCTTATGATAGTTCCTATCCCCTTGCCAGTGATTAATGAGACATGGCTGGGAGGTAGGGGCAGAGGAAGATACTCTAGAAGGAGTTTTCATGCTTTTAAAAGGAGGATGCAGGGAAAAGCACACCTTTTGGGGAGGGAGGGTCTACATGTGATGCCTGGAACTATGGTAACCACCTTGTTCATGAGAGCAGCTACCCTAAGAACAAACTGTCACACTAACCATGGAAGGGTAGAAAGGACAATTCCTGGGTTCTTGATAACATCCAAGGTAACTTACCCAGAAGTACACATTAGACAAAACCTGTTTCCTGCTCAAAATCTAGACCTATCCCTCTCTCCTATACCACTTACGTCCTCTATGTATATTATTAGTCAGTGAATGAAGGTAAATTTCTCCCACTTCTTATTGTTGTTTGTTTGTTTGCTTGTTTTTTAGAGATTTTATTTATTCATAAAAGACACACAGAGAGGCAGAGACACAGGCCAAGGAAGAAGCAGGCTCCCTGAAGAGAGCCTGATATGAGACTCGATCCTGGGACCCTGGGATCACGATGTGAGCCACCCAGGTTCTCCTGTTGTTTTTATCCTTTAAAATGTCTTAGGAGGCCATAGAGTTTAGTGGTTAAGAGCAAACTGTGGTGTCAGGTGGACCTGGGTTTAAATCCTGCCTCTGTGTGACCTCAAGCAAGTCATTTAACCCTTTATGCCTCAATTTCCTTAAGTATATCATGGTGATAACAATTCCTTTGCTATAAGGTTGTGATGAGGACTAAGTAAACTACATATATAAAGGACTTATCACAGGTTCTAGCACATGATAGGCACATAGAAAAAATTGATGATGTTTATGATTATTACTATTACTGTACTATGCAATATTACCCTACCTCTTCAAGAGGCAGCCAGCATTTTGAATGTAAAGACAGTATCTTCCTTCCCCATACAGAGTGGTTTCATCAGTTGACTTCTTATTCATTAGAGCCTCCCCTTTTCATGTGAAAACTGGGAACTCCCCTTCTTCCTGCCCAGATAGCCACCTTCAAAGAATCCCAACTTCCCAGAAGTGCCTGTCATTCCTTGGTGGAGCCCAGCCTGGTTTTGTATCTACTCACAAAGCTCTAAGGGAGCTTTGATGCTCACATGGCTGCTTAGCAGGAGCAGAAAGAAAAAACCCTACTTGCTCACTCTCTCCACAATGAGACCTTTGGCAATTTAGAGGGACACAGAGATAAAAGACTGGATTTTTTTTCTTTTCATTTTTCGCCCAAAAAACAAATGGTGGCTTGTCTTTATCAGTCACTCCTTCAGAGCTACACCAGTATCAAAAAGCATGAAATCAGCAGAACACCAAGGCAGGGGAGTTCTATCCCACCCAGTAAGGAATTTGCTTGCTTACAGGACAAACAGGAAAGGGAGGGGAGAGGGGAACTGTACATAAAGAGCATCTCACTGAGGTAACCTAAGCTCACATCCCCCACCCCATTCCCAAAAGTTTGTTTTCTTAACATTTACTCTATACTACTTGAAGCTTGGCACACAGACAAAACAAGGACAGTGAGGGACACAAAGAAAGGAAAGCTCAATTTGTCTCATGGATAAATCTTGAGTTGATTTGACATCTCTTAGTCCAGAGAGCTTACTGTGCTGACAATGTGCAGGTCTCTGTATGTGGGGCATTCAGCTGGGACTCACAAGTCTAGTGTTAAGCTCTGCTCTAAGTCCACATAACCATGTACAAATGGAGGAGGAATGAGAATAGGCATAACAACAGGGCCAATTGTTTCTGGGATATATCCTATGTGGTCCTATACTATGTACCCAATATGACAACCAGAGGATAGATGGGACTACTTTCCCCACTTACCAATATGAACACTGTAGCTTAGAGAGGTCAAGTCAGGTGTCCAATGTCACATCTTAAGAGGCAGAGGCAGGACTTAAACTCAGATCTGCACCAAAGTGTGTGTTCTTAACCAGATGTTATAAAGCTGCATTCCACACAGATTACGAGCACCCTCTAAAAAATGCCAAGCAATATACAGTTCTAAGGCATCTGTTATCCACTGAGTTGTGCCTTCGAAAAATGTTATGCTGAAGTCCTGACCCCTATACTATTCAGGAATAGGGTCTTTTCAGATGTAATTAAGTAAAAATGAGGACATACGGGATCAGAGTGGGCCCTAATCCAGTGGCTGGTGTCCTTAGAAGGAAGGGAAATTTGGATACACGTACTCACACAGGGAAGAGAGCCATGTAAAGACAGAGGCAGAAATTGGTGATGCTGCCACAAGCCCAGGAATATCAAAGATTGCTGGAAACTGCCAGAAGCGAGGAGAAGGCAAAGAAGGATCATCCCCTACAGCCTTTGAGGGAAGATGGTGTGGCCAATATCTTGATTTTGGACATCTGGCCTCCAGAATTGTGAGAATAGATTTCTGTTGTCTTAAGCCACCAAGTTTGTGACACTTTGTTATGGTAGTGTTAGGAAACTAATATAACATCTGTCTTTGCGAGTTTACAAAAGAGGAGGGGGATGCAGCTGCAGGGAGGGGAGAAGAAGGCAAGATAATTTTCAGACAAATAATATGAAGATTATTTCTAGCATAGTGGCCTGGAGAGTGGGGCAAGGATGCTAGCCATAAAAGAGAGATGGTCAGAAGTGGGTGATGAAGGCAGGGAAATGAGGGGTTTAACTGAAGTAAAGAGATGAAAAGGAGAGAGAGGAGAATGGCAAGGAGTTTAACGGGTCAGCTCCTTGAGAGAAGACTTCAAGAAGGTTCTGGCATTCCCTGCCAGGGAGGGAAAGGATTGAGAAAGAGTAAAATGCTGCCACAGTCTGCCCCGTGATCATGACCTTGCCCCATGCCACTGCCCCAGCTTTCTCACACCTCAACAGGGATCTTACATCAGACTCCTCTTGAGTTACTACACTCAGGGAACATGTAGTTAGCACTCACTAAGTGGTTGGTGCTAAAGGGAGGCGGGGGGGGGGGGGTGGTGATGAAGACCAGAGAGTA